ACCAGTAACTTCTTTAAGAGTCAGTGCTCATGACAAAAGAACATTAAGGACTAAATCATTTCACACATTGCAATCAATATCACCTGAGATGTAAATACACTGATCTCTGTTTTTTTAAGAGTGATTCCAAAATACTGACCACATGGGTCACAGCAAGCAGACTGCCATTGAAGCGAAAATAAGTACCCTTGTTTTTAACGTCTGTATTGAATTTCTGTGTAGTTTCTTCTTTAAGTGGAAAAGTGAAATGTGTTCACTTCTGATCTGATAAAGAAAAAAAAAGAGAACTGCCTCTGGATGTATCTTAGTTTTTCCTGATATCACATCTGCTCAGTGCCAGCAGATGCTTATTTATGAACAAAAAGCCTCTGAATGTGTGCTCAAACTGCAGATCGATGAAAAAGACATAAATAATTCAAAATGGCATGCATTCATTTTGAAATACATCAACATCCAGTGTCGTAATCACCACAGAAAACCACATCACAACTTATCTCCACATTTTGTTTGGGTTACGCATGTTCGTCCGCATGGCATGCACGTAAAGAGCTCACTGATCAAGGCGTTTGACAATGGCTTTTAGGGTCTCTTTAACAGGTAAGGTACAGTTAAAGAAAATAATCCTCCAAGCGATGACCAGAACACAGGACACTTTTAACTACAACTTGTTTGGAGCAGACTTTTTGAATTTTGAGTTTTATCTGGAGTATTTTCGCCTCCCTTGTTCCTTAAGCCTTGTCAACATGCTGTCAAACTTGTATTACCTCGTACATGCTTAAGGGTTCAGAGTTGACAACTTCTCTGAAAAAACTGACAAGGGATGCCATTACAGTTGTACATGTAAGACGTCAACGTACAAACTTTTACCATCACCTAGTTCAAGACTTTAAAAATCCACAGTTAGATTTCTAACTCTAATGCTGGTCTGCTTCCTCGTGTCTACGACCACCTCCTTTGAGGGATCTATCTAGGTTGGGTCACTGCTGAGGTCAAGCGCCACTCTGATGTTCCAGATGGGAGTAAATTTACACTAATCCTTCCGAAAAACCCACTTGGGCCAAAGCCGCAGACATGTAAAACTATAAAGTGGGGGAGACATTCCTGAGCCATCTGAAAGTAATCAGCCTGTAAGCTGCCGAGATTCAGATGCAGATGAATGGGTTGCTATCCCAAGGTTACTTACGGTGGTTTAATCAGTTAAACTGTTTGGCTTTTTAAGCCACTGCACAGCAGCAGGAGATGGACTGATGATGATAGCCCATGAGTGTCTGCACCACGGGGAGGTCACAGGTCAGGCTGAGCCACAACTCAGCTGGCACTGAAAGCAAAAGTGTCGTGTTCAAGGACACACAGCAGTTTGAATCACAGTTTGCTGTCTAACGCAATCAATTTTAGAAAAGTTCATTCTCCTCATATGTAGTTTTTCTTGCATGCTTGACCACGGCTCTGGATGAATCCTGCACCATCAGTCTTATCAGTTCATTTTACCCTCTTGGAATACTGATCTATTTTGGGTGTTTTATCTGTCAGTGTCAGCTCTGCAGCATTGAACTCATCGCTGGAATTTGGTGCTGAAGACTAATTGCAACCCATCAATGCACGATCTTTCTTTCATGGTTTGGTAAGAATCTCTTAAAGGAGGAGCTCTGTGCAACCGCCACGGAGCTTTTCCAGCTGTGCATTTCCCAGATAGCACCAGTCGAAACACGGAAGTTGAGGGAAATTCCCTTGAAATTAAAATGGTTCTCTTACATTTTGAATACTAACAGTTGTCGTGCAAAAACGTAAGTATCAAACTACCATGGGATTTATAATCAGCAGTAGTTATACCTTGAATAATACATCAAACTGACTAGAAACGGTTTAAAAGAGCGTCGATCAGAAAGGGAAGGAAACGATTCCAAGGGCGAACCTGAGATTTTATTCTGGAAGATTGACGGAAACAGAGTCCTCGATGCCAGCTGGCTTTAAACCCGCTCTCTTTCTTGCGGTCTACCTCTCCAGCATGCAAATGACTGTAACTCCAATATATCGCAGATTGGTTAACAGCACAGAACGCGCCGCGCCGCGTGAGAGCAGCGAACCCCGCGCCTGCTGACAGAGGCTACGTTATCGACACTGTAATCGATCCAAAAATTGCCTCGTGCCAAACGGAAAACTTTATATTTTCATTCAATCAACCCATCAACTTATCCATATTAACAGTGCAGAGGCTGAACTCATCATCCCGGGACCCG